GAGGAAGTAATCTATTTAGGACATACACTAACTCAAGAGGGAAGGACTTTGAATGCCTCTAGGAAGATGGCTATCTTAGAGGCTCCAAAACCTATTAACAAGAAACAAATGATTAGTTTTCTGGGTATGATTAACTACTGCAGGGCTTGGGTGCCACACTTTGCATTACATACGGGGAAGCTAAGTGGACTGATTTATGGAAAAGCAATGGCTGCTAAGGATAAGATCGAGTGGACAGAGGAGGCTGAGGTACAGTTTGCTAACATAAAGAAACTATTAACATCAAATACAGTTCTAGCCTTCCCTAGATATGACCGCCCTTTTACACAAACTGTAGATTGTAGACGGGGGTTTATGACAGTTCTTACACAAAAACATGGGGGGAAAAATAAGCCCATTGCATATTACTCCTCCAGATTGGATGAAGTGGCTCAAGCCATGCCTTTATGTTTACAATCTGTGGTAGCAGCTGCCCAAGCAGTGGAGGATTCGGCCTCAGTAGTACTTTACAATGACTTAACGCTAAAAGTACCACACGCAGTGTCCATTTTATTATTAGAGCATAAAATGGCCTATATGTCACCAGCTAGACACTTATCTTGTATGATCATTTTGTTAAAACATGCCCATTTTAACCATAGAACGATGCACAACTCTCAATCCCTCTACTCTGGTTCCCATTGCAACAGATGGGAGCCCACATGATTGTGTATCCGAAACTGAGAAGCTTGTGTTGCCAAGACCTGACTTACAGTGGGGGAAAAAACGTATTTAGTCAGCCACCAATTGTGCAAGTTCTCCCACTTAAAAAGATGAGAGAGGCCTGTAATTTTCATCATAGGTACACGTCAACTATGACAGACAAAATGAGAAAAAAAATCCAGAAAATCACATTGTAGGATTTTTAATGAATTTATTTGCAAATTATGGTGGAAAATAAGTATTTGGTCACCTACAAACAAGCAAGATTTCTGGCTCTCACAGACCTGTAACTTCTTCTTTAAGAGACTCCTCTGTCCTCCACTCGTTACCTGTATTAATGGCACCTGTTTGAACTTGTTATCAGTATAAAAGACACCTGTCCACAACCTCAAACAGTCACACTCCAAACTCCACTATGGCCAAGACCAAAGAGCTGTCAAAGGACACCAGAAACAAAATTGTAGACCTGCACCAGGCTGGGAAGACTGAATCTGCAATAGGTAAGCAGCTTGGTTTGAAGAAATCAACTGTGGGAGCAATTATTAGGAAATGGAAGACATACAAGACCACTGATAATCTCCCTCGATCTGGGGCTCCACGCAAGATCTCACCCCGAGGGGTCAAAATGATCACAAGAACGGTGAGCAAAAATCCCAGAACCACACAGGGGGACCTAGTGAATGACCTGCAGAGAGCTGGGACCAAAGTAACAAAGCCTACCATCAGTAACACACTACGCCGTCAGGGACTCAAATCCTGCAGTGCCAGACTTGTCCCCCTGCTTAAGCCAGTACATGTCCAGGCCCGTCTGAAGTTTGCTAGAGTGCATTTGGATGATCCAGAAGAGGATTGGGAGAATGTCATATGGTCAGATGAAACCAAAATAGAACTTTTTGGTAAAAACTCAACTCGTCGTGTTTGGAGGACAAAGAATGCTGAGTTGCATCCAAAGAACACCATATCTACTGTGAAGCATGGGGGTGTTTTTCTGCAAAGGGATCCGTGTAAAGAAAAGAATGAATGGGGCCATGTATCGTGAGATTTTGAGTGAAAACCTCCTTCCATCAGCAAGGGCATTGAAGATGAAACGTGGCTGGGTCTTTCAGCATGACAATGATCCCAAACACACCGCCCTGGCAACAAAGGAGTGGCTTCGTAAGAAGCATTTCAAGGTCCTGGAGTGGCCTAGCCAGTCTCCAGATCTCAACCCCATAGAAAATCTTTGGAGGGAGTTGAAAGTCTGTGTTGCCCAGCGACAGCCCCAAAACATCACTGCTCTAGAGGAGATCTGCATGGAGGAATGGACCAAAATACCAGCAACAGTGTGTGAAAACCTTGTGAAGACTTACAGAAAACGTTTGACCTGTGTCATTGCCAACAAAGGGTATATAACAAAGTATTGAGAAACTTTTGTTATTGACCAAATACTTATTTTCCACCATAATTTGCAAATAAATTCATAAAAAATCCTACAATGTGATTTTCTGGATTTTTTTTCCTCATTTTGTCTGTCATAGTTGACGTGTACCTATGATGAAAATTACAGGCCTCTCTCATCTTTTTAAGTGGGAGAACTTGCACAATTGGTGGCTGACTAAATACTTTTTTCCCCCACTGTATGTGCTGTACTTTCATCCCCAATAATACAGCACCTGACGGGTCAGTGACCAAAGCTCTCCAGGTACTCACTACACTGGCAAAGGAACTGGCTGAGAACTCTGGCATTGACAACTCACTAACTGGTTGGTTTGATAATATGTTTGGAAAATGGAAACAGATTGGGGCAACAGTGGTGGGGGCAGTTCTGGTGGGAATGTTCAGTTTGGTGTTATGTGGATGCTGTTTAATCCTGTGTGTGCGAGGTCTTGTGTTAAGGTCTTTGGAAAAGGCAGTGTCCCTGCAGATGGTGACCTATGGGCCCGTTCCAAACTCAGACCGATGGAACGACGACCTATATCCTCCCGCTCTAGTGGACGATGCAGAAGATTTCAATCCTGATGAACCTGTATTAAATGAGACAATTTTTGATGTTTAGTATATTATCTTTTCAATTAAAGTTATAGTGAAAATCCTAACAAGGAGAGTGAGTTATGGTTGGAAGTAAAATTTGGTAGCAATGCAAGACAAATTGTATTTTATAGTCTGTTTTGTACTAGTGATTCATTTTTATATGCAAAATCAACTTATATGCTTCAATGTGTGTCATTCATTTTTATAACAACATATATTTTGTGAGTATGTGTGTAATATTTAGTCAAAGGGTGGAATTGATAGAAGAATTTGGTAAATAAGTAATGACTAATTATTACACCCTGAAGCTGTGTGAAAAGTGTTAGAATCATAAGACTATGAACTGATAATATGTGTAGCTTAATAATAATAATAATAAGCCATTTAGCAGACGCTTTTATCCAAAGCGACTTACAGTCATGCGTGCATACATGTTTTTTTTTTTTTTGTGTATGGGTGGTCCCGGGGATCGAACCCACTACCTTGGCGTTTCAAGCGCCGTGCTCTACCAGCTGAGCTACATAAGTACAACGAGGCAGTCAGAATATTGTGAGAACGGCGATAACTGAGGAATGCAGGGAGTAAACTATGATAAGAACATGTGTGTGTGACCTGATGGTCAGGAGAGCAGTTTTCTAGTGGAAAACTACAGCCCACCTAAGGCGGGGTGGGATTTTTTGTATGACGTGTGTGTATAAAAGGATTGTACCACCATTTTGTTTCAGAACGTTCTCATGAATAAAGCCTGATGATTGTATGCTGGACTACTTGGTCTGATTATTAGAGATTTACAACCTCTGGGATACAGACTGAGTAATAAGTTCATTTTTGAAACATTGAGATAGAAATTCTCATAACAATAATATAATGTGTACTCATCGGGTGGGCTCTGCAAACAGAGCAGACAGTGAGAAGAAGCAGATACGGTGTCAAGATGTCAACAGACACAGAGAGAGAAGTTACACCTGCTTAAATGGGTATATAATTTAATGGGTGTGTATGTAGAGCATGGAAACAGCAACTGAAAGTCAACTGCACATTCAAACTTTTAATATACAGAAAATAATGTGGATATATACATGAATAATAAACATGAATAATGTGGAAATAGATTTAAAGGTATTTGGAAATATGTAATAACTTAAATAACGTCCACTAGCCTGCATTAAGAAACAGATCAAAATTCCCACTATAGTGTTCATCGTAGATATGTTTTCAATATGAAATGTAATTAAGTGATAATGCCTGAGAAGCCGGTGTTTGGAGGATATATTGGCACGGGTATTCATCCTTCGACAAGATATAGTCCCGACACAAATCTGGCATAGAAAATGTGCTCACTCGTGAGGACAATGTTGTTCAGAGGAGCTAGAAAATGACACAGCTAACACAATCACTTCAAAGTGAAGCTGGAAAGACTGAAACTAGCTGCTCTTCGTTTCATTTTACCTTTTTTCAACTGACATTTCTTTGTATATATCCATAAAAATGATGCCAGCTGATTCATGATTTCGACTGGCTGAGAAACGCTGCCTGCCTGTGTGTCTGTCTCATCCCGACTCCCGACACATTCATTACTATGGGACAGCTGGAGATCGAATTTCAATATTGAAACAATGTTGCAAATGTTGGAGAGACAGACAGCAAGGTTAATACAAATGTCTGCTGTTGAAAACTAAATGTTAGTCTAAAAGAAATGTGAGATAATGTCTAGATGCTTTTTATTGTGGAGATCATGTTTATAAATTGCTTGGCTGGGCTGATGAGACAGCGGAATGGGGTTTTAACTAATCAGCATTCAGGATTAGACCCACCCGTTGTATAATATCTCATATGTATCCTGCTGCATTAGCTCCCAGATAAATGCTGTTTACTGTACACATTGCGCAAAGAAACTGCCTATTCAGGGATCCAATACACGACATGACAGTATGCCCATAGCAAATACCAACATCCCCCATGATTTCACACTAAAGTGTGTATAGACACTAAATGCAGTTCACAAATAAATCAATCCTGCATACTATTGATGCGTAACCAATACAAATATTGCTAGATAAATATGACACTGTATGACAGAAGTTATGCCTGTTTGTCATGTCCATATCAGTGTCAAATAAAGTGTTACCCAAATTGCCTTGAATGTAAAAATCAACAACCCACTTGGGCAAAAAAATTACCAGTAGACTAAGCAAAATGGAACAGTCAAACCAATGAGAGAAACATAGAGACACACTGTGTGATGTACCTTAAGAATAAAAGTTCCAGACTGTGGTCCACTCCACTCATAGGCTCTTTCTTCTCCTCAGACGGTATGGTCGAGTCAGCTGACCTGTGACAAACACTCCATGGTCTACTACGGTGCACTGGGTGGCAGTGTCAATGTTCTGGCTAATGGACCAGCAGTTCTGAGATGCTGTGGGTTCTATTGGTGGAGGAGACATGAAGAAAGAAGGTGAACTGATGGAGTAAGGGTGACTGGTGCACTTCCCTTCTGTCTGAGAGACTGAAGTCTCAGAGACGGCGCTAGAGTCAGAAATGCCCTTTCTGGAATACTCATACACGTTCTTCATGAAGGCATTCTTGGTGTTGTGCTCCTTCTTGAAGAGGATGACGTAGCACTTGGGGAAGAAATGACAGCTGAGGACGCCGTAGTTGGAAATGAGGATGACCACCATCTCCACCGCTGGCAGGTACTTCCCTGAGGTGGTCACATAGACGGGCACGAAGATCGCCCAGGACATGAAGTAGAGGAGCATGCTGAAGGTGATGAACCTGGCATCGTTGTACTTCTGTGGCAGCTTGCGGCTTTTAAACGCGCAGGCGAAACAGACGAGCGCCAAGACAGCAATGTAGCCCAGCATCACACCAAACGCCATGTAGGAGCCCTCGTCACACTCGGCCAGCACAGTGGTGGCGAAGACAGTGGCCTTGTCCCGGGGGCTCTGCAGGACCAACCACAGGGTGCAGGTGAGAACCTGTAGGGCCACACAGAGACAAATGATGGCGTAGGGTTGGTAGAGGTGGCGGAGAACGTTCTTTAGATCAGGGTTGAGCTGGAAGGCAAGCAGGATCTTCAGGGACTTGACCAGGATGCAGGAAACACACAGGGTGAAACTGAGGCCAAACAGCACCTGACGCATCTTGACAATGAGATGAGAAGAGATGAGACAATGAGACAGAACTGTATTATCTCTTTGTATTTAAATTTGCTTTGCGTCTACAAACTAATTTCCTTGCCACAAAGTTACAAAAGGTTCAAAACAATACACACACAATAAACCATGAATTCACAAACTGACACTTGTACAATCAGACAACGTCACAGACAGTACATTACAGAAGTGTTTCCCAAACTGTGTGTACCGTACATACCTTACACTGGAGGCTGCTGGGATGACCTACGAAGAACACAGCGCTAACAAAACTTCCCACTAGGGAGAGCAGGATGAGCTGGGAGAGAGGCCCCCCGGCAGCCTTCACCACGGCGGTCTGGTGGTGGTGTTGGAAGAGCGCCCCCACCAGGAGAACCAGGATGATGCCCAGGGCCGCCAGCGCCAACAGCACCACCGCAAAGCCATTCTGCCAGGAGAAGAACTCTAGGGTATAAATGTGACATTTTACAGAGGGAGAGATGGGGACAGAGAGGGAGAGGGGGTTAGAGACAGACAGACATACAGATCTTCAAGTCTTGGCACTCACCTGACACACTGATGCATCGGGTGCTGAGAGGTTGGGGGTTTTCTTTACGCCCTAATGGATGGAAAACTGCTTTCCAATGATAATATCTCCTGGTGCTGTAGCTCCTGCTGCTTTGAAGTCTTCAAGTTTGGCAGTGCCTGTCTCCAACAGGGACAGGATGACTAACAGGTGGAGAACATCACCCATGGGTGCCATCATTTCTCTCTGGTGGTACTGTCCAATTCTCAATTTCGGTGTCTCTCCTTTTGCAGTTTCTCTCACCCTCCCTCTCTCCCTCTCTGACTGTGTCCGTCTCTGTCTCTGTCTCTGTCTCTGTCTTTCTCTCTCTCTCTCTGTATCGTTCTCGCTCCCATAATTTTTCTATCTCTCTCTCTCCCTTCCTGTCGCTGTCTCCCTGTCATTGTCTCTGTCTGTCTGTCTCTCTGTCTCTCTCTCTTTCTCTCTCTGTCTCTCCCTATTTCTCTCTCTCTCTCTGTGTCTCACTCTGTAAACTCTTCTAGCAGACTGACACAGTGACCTGTCAGCAGCTTCAGTAAAACCTGTTGCTTCCTCCTAATCTCATCTAATGTCTGCATAACCCTGTCCCCTCCCATTCCAGCTAACTCTCTCTGACAGACAGCTACGCTGGCTGACTCACTTGCCTCCAGCTAAAGGTGACAGACAGTCACACAAATATAACCCAGCTGATCTGCAATATAAACATTTATTGTAAAAGGTGAAAGATGCACGTGTGGTGAGACACCTCTTTTCCGGAACTGTTTTCACAATACCTAAGTCGTTTTTTTAGCACTTGGATCTTTTAACACTTGGATAACACTTGGTCCTCTGTAGCTCAGCTGGTAGAGCACGGCGCTTGTAACGCCAAGGTAGTGGGTTCGATCCCCGGGACCACCCATACACAAAAATGTATGCACGCATGACTGTAAGTCGCTATGGATAAAAGCATCTGCTAAATGGCTTATTATTAAGTGTTAATTGAGTCACAATGTTTAAGCGTGACATTTTAGAGAGAAGTCACTCCTCCATGATCAATACATTCATTTCACAAGATATGCCAACATTTGTCTTTGCCCCTTTTATTAGTTAATCCACAGTAGAATACATTCATCAAATACTAATGGTAGAAATAGTTATTCCTTTGTTTAACAATTACTATATGAGATCATGTATCGTATCCAATTCCAGTAGTAACACAATGCAAATACTATTATAGGAACATTGACCATGCTTTTCCTAGAAGAACACTAGATGGTGCTAAAATGTTGTACTTATGGTAAGGAATTGTGTGGTGAAATGGAAACGTTTTTTTTGCTAATCCTACTCCCCCCTGAGATACCCTCTGAGAGTTGAGTCACGGAATGGGATCAGCCACTATTGACGGCATCCCAGGCACTCAAGAAGCACAATACTGTCACCTACAGTATAATTATCATGGTCACAGCTTGGATGGAAATATATCCTGCATCTACTGTAGTAGTGAGAGCTCATAAAAATAAGCAGCAAACAGCTTCGTCCCCTCAATGTAGTTGTACTGTTTTCAGTGGAGGATGTACATTGTGTCATGATGGTAACGACAATGTGTGTATTTCAGTGACATATTATTATTTACTTTGGAAAGCAGCTGCACATCTCTTTCTCTGGGGTCTCTCTTCAATGGGGAAATGGACTATGGTTGACCTGGAGATTCCATGATGAAATATATTTCTGCTAATTTGAGAGAGAGATGGTCAAAAACTGTAATTATTATTATCTGCTCCTCTCCACTGCTTAGCCCTGGCTGCAATATTAACGTTAGAATAACATTCAGGACACCAGTTGCATCAAACTGACTGCAGTAATGTACAGTTGAAGTCGGAAGTTTACATACACTTAGGTTGGAGTCGACTAGTTTTGTCAAGTCGGTTAGGACATCTACTTTGTGCATGACACAAGTAATTTTTCCAACAATTGTTTACAGACAGATTATTTCACTTATAATTGACTGTATCACAATTCCAGTGGGTCAGAAGTTTACATACACTAAGTTGACTGTGCCTTTAAACAGCTTGGGAAATTCCAGAAAATTATGTAATGGATTTAGAAGTTTCTGATAGGCTAATTGACATCATTTGAGTCAGTTGGAGGGGCACCTGTGGATGTATTTCAAGGCCTACCTTCAAATGCAGTGCCTCTTTGCTTGACACCATGGGAAAATCAAAAGAAATCAGCCAAAAAAACTGTAAATTGGTCTTCCAAATGGACAATGACCCCAAGCATACTTCCAAAGTTGTGGCAAAATGGCTTAAGGACAACAAAGTCAAAGTATTGGAGTGGCCATCACAAAGCCCTGACCTCAATCCTATAGAACATTTGTGGGCAGAACTGAAAAGGCATGTGCGAGCAAGGAGGCCTACAAACCTGACTCAGTTACACCAGCTCTGTCAGGAGGAATGGGCCAAAATTCACCCAACTTATTGTGGGAAGCTTGTGGAAGGCTACCCGAAACGTTTGACCCAAGTTAAACAATTTAAAGGCAATGCTACCAAATACTAATTGAGTGTATGTAAACTTCTGACCCACTGGGAATGTGATGAAAGAAATAAAAGCTGAAATAAATCATTCTCTCTACTATTATTCTGACATTTCACATTCTTAAAATAAAGTGGTGATCCTAACTGATCTAAGACAGGGAATTTTTACTAGGATTAAATGTCAGGAATTGTGAAAAACTGAGTTTAAATGTATTTGGCTAAGGTGTATGTAAACTTCCGACTTCAACTGTAGATACATAGTGTAGGATGGCACTGCATGTAACTTGCTGCGTAAGTCAGCATAGCATTCAGCCATTGTTATGCTTTGACAACGTTACTGTAGGATTGGGACAACGTTAGGGTAATGTTGAGGAGTGGTCTGATTGAGTGAGTGCTCCTTATTGAAACGCTGCCAGCCAGCCACAGTACAGGGCCAGATGGGTTAGGTTCAGTGACTAGCGTCTCTTATGTGATGCAGTGTCTGTCTGTAAAAATCTCCAGGTGAATAAAAACCCAGGCTCTCAGAGTTCTTTTGTAGTTGTTGTTTTTCCTTCATCTCACCATGAGTTATTATGATATCATTACTTATTTGTTTTGCCTGCAGTCTTTTTGTTTTATCAGTGGTGGTTAACCTTCAGTGGTGTAAAGGTACTACTTAAGTATTTTTTGGGGGGTATCTGTACTTTACTCTACTATTTATATTTTTGACAACTGTAACTTTTACTTCACTACATTCCTAAAGGAAATTATGTACTTTTTACTCCATACATTTTCCGTGACACCCAAATGTACTCGTTACATTTAGAATGCTTAGCAGGACAGGAAAATGGTCTAATCCCTGGTCATCCCTACTGCGTCTGATCTGGCGGACTCACTAAACACATGCTTCGTTTGTAAATGATGTCTGAGTGTTGGAGCGTGCCCCTGGCTATCCTTTAAAAAATAAAATAATAATAATTGTGCTGTCTGGTTTGTTTAATATAAGGAATTTGAAATTATTTTTGATGCTTAAGTATATTTTAGCAATTGCATTTACTTTTGATACTTAAGTATATTTAAAACCATATACTTTTAGACGTTTACTCAAGTAGGATTTTACTGGGTGACTTACACTTTTACTTGAGTCATTTTCTATTAAGGTATCTTTACATTTACTCAAGTTTGACAATTGGGTACTTTTCCCACCGCTATTAATCTTGCATTGGACTTACTTAACGCTATTGGACGTTGTTAAAAAATCCTCTGTACAGTGAGGGAAAAAAGTATTTGATCCCCTGCTGATTTTGTACGTTTGCCCACTGACAAAGACATGATCAGTCTATAATTTTAATGATAGGTTTATTTGAACAGTGAGAGACAGAATAACAACAACAAAATCCAGAAAAACGCATGTCAAAAATGTTATATATTGATTTGCATTTTAATGAGGGAAATAAGTATTTGACCCCTCTGCAAAACATGACTTAGTACTTGGTGGCAAAACCCTTGTTGGCAATCACAGAGGTCAGACGTTTCTTGTAGTTGGCCACCAGGTTTGCACACATCTCAGGAGGGATTTTGTCCCACTCCTCTTTGCAGATCTTCTCCAAGTCATTAAGGTTTCGAGGCTGACGTTTGGCAACTCAAACCTTCAGCTCCCTCCACATATTTTCTATGGGATTAAGGTCTGGAGACTGGCTAGGCCACTCCAGGTCCTCAATGTGCTTCTTCTTGAGCCACTCCTTTGTTGCCTTGGCCGTGTGTTTTGGGTCATTGTCATGCTGGAATACCCATCCATGACCCATTTTCAATGCCCTGGCTGAGGGAAGGAGGTTCTCACCCAAGATTTGACGGTACATGGCCCCGTCCATCGTCCCTTTGATGCGGTGAAGTTGTCCTGTCCCCTTAGCAGAAAAACACCCCCAAAGCATAATGTTTCCACCTCCATGTTTGACAGTGGGGATGGTGTTCTTGGGGTCATAGGCAGCATTCCTCCTCCTCCAAACACGGCGAGTTGAGTTGATGCCAAAGAGCTCAATTTTGGTCTCATCTGACCACAACACTTTCACCCAGTTCTCCTCTGAATCATTCAGATGTTCATTGGCAAACTTCAGACGGGCCTGTATATGTGCTTTCTTGAGCAGGGGGACCTTGTGGGCGCTGCAGGATTTCAGTCCTTCACGGTGTAGTGTGTTACCAATTGTTTTCTTGGTGACTATGGTCCCAGCTGCCTTGAGATCATTGACAAGATCCTCCCGTGTAGTTCTGGGTTGATTCGTCACCGTTCTCATGATCATTGCAACTCCACGAGGTGAGATCTTGCATGGAGCCCCAGGCAGAGGGAGATTGACAGCTCTTTTGTGTTTCTTCCATTTGCGAATAATCGCACCAACTGTTGTCACCTTC